ACTCAATGGTGAATATATCTCTTGGTTCGTGTTCCATCTCCATACCTCGCGTCTTTAACTTAAACAAAAGAACATCTACCTCCTTTTTGACAATGTGGATTTCAATACAGTTTACTAACAGAGAAACCCTGTCTCGAAAAACAAAAAACAAAACAAAACAAAAAGTCTAAGGATGTGCTAAGAAAGTGATTTAAGGTTAAAAAGAAGGAAACATGTTTAAGATTTCTTTCCCTCACTGTACTACTGTTGTATTAAGACTCTAAAAGGTCAAGTCTTAACATTAATTAATGGAATTCTGATAAGCTATTAATCTAGCTCTGTTAGGCACTGCTATTATTATTATAGTCACAGGTTGAAGAATTCAAATCCCCTTTGGTTGTTTTCTGAGTATAGACTTAAAAGTGTTTCTCATCATGCTAAAAACGTGTTTCATCTATATACACCCAGTTTTCTGGACAGAGGAAAGAGTGTCCATGCTTTTAACCAGAATTATTTGTGGGTCCCCAGTGACTCAAAGGCATAGGTCTACTGTAAGGATTCAGGCATTACGCTGGCCTGCCCCTGTTACCTGGAAGAATGCACTCAGGCAGGTGCAAAGGACCCCCTTAAAAGACAGACCCATGCCCACATATGCTCTCTCTCTCTCTCTCTCTCTCTCTCTCTCTCTCTCTCTGTTCTTTCTGTCTTGCCTCTCTCTTCTCTTGCGCTCCTCTTTTGCTTTCTCACCCTTCGCCCCTTTCTCTCTCTCTCTCTTCTCCCCCTCTTACTCTCTCCCCTCCCCACCTTTTAATAAACTCAATGGTGAATATATCTCTTGGTTCGTGTTCCATCTCCATACCTCGAGTCTTTAACTTAAACAAAAGAACATTTACCTCCTTTTTGACAATGTGGATTTCAATACAGATTACAAACAGTGGGATTGCTAATGTGTCTAAAACTTGTCTCTTTAGCACATCGACCCCAGATGCTGTCAGGGAGGCCAGTACAAGACTGATCCAGACCCCTGAACATGGATGTCAATAAGGAGGCCTCTGCACTCCAGGCAAGCTTGTTCCCTAACTAGAACTAATAAATAAATTTAAAAAAAAAAAACTTGTCTCTTTTAGTAAACTCAAAAAAAAATCTGAGAAGCTCAGGATAAGTACTGGACTCCAGGTAAGTACTGTCAGTCAACAGCCTAGATTTCCCCACCTACTTCTTCCTGAGGGGATCATGAGAGGATCTCCTCTTCACCTTTCTCTGGTCTTGGGACCCCACCTCCCTCATTTTTAAGAGGATATTTTTTTTTCTTAGGTCCTGGTAATTGAGAAGGGACTAAGAAAAAACTTTCTTCCTAAAACTTAACTTTGTTTTCTGCCAGCATCCTGCCAGGTCCCCTCAAAATCTCCATCTGGGACAGCTTCCAAATGGCTAGCCTGAAGTGGTTCAGCCTCACAGGTTTCTTCAACTAGACTTGCACTTTCCTAGCACCAGACCACAGCCTGGACAGTGAGTGAAACTGCCAGCTATCCCAAGACTCCGCCAGCATCTCAGCTTTCTCAGGTCCCACATAGATGCAGGGCCCTGGAACAGCAGGAAACAGCCTAGAGAACATAGCGCCCCCATTCCCTCACCAGATATGCCTTCCTATTCCCTCACTTGTTTGTTTTTGTTTTGTTTTTCAAGACAGGGTTTCTCTGTATTGCTTTGGAGGCTGTCCTGGAACTCGCTCTGTAGACCAGACTGGCCTCGAACTCACAGAGATCCCCCTGCCTCTGCCTCCCGGGTGCTGAAACTAAAGGTGTGCACCACCAACACCAGGCTTTCCTCACCTTTTTATAATAAACAAAAGGGAGAAATGTTAGCTTTGTGCAGCAGACTGCCTCTGCCACTGAAGCAGTTACATCATCACCTGTCGCCAGTGCCTTTCCGCTATGCAATGTGTGCACCACTTAATAGTGTCCTCCAGGCACTATTCGCTCTCTTGTCTCTTGCCCCTTGCTCCTCTCTTGTCTCTTCTCTGTTCTCTGTTCTCTGTTTTTCTGCCTGTCTGTCTGCTCGTCTCTCTCATGTCCCGACTTTGACATAGCTTTGGCTCTTTCACTCCCCACCCCACCCATAGACCTCTTGCACTAGCTCCATAGTATGCAGTGTGCTTGCTTAGTGGCATACCTTGTCAGGGCCTGAAAAGTACCCACTTCGACTTTCTTTTTTTTAATCATTACAGTGGTGACAGTTACATCAAGTCAGGTCCTTTATTTAGAACAGGAGAGGACTCTCTTGCTTTGGTGAAAGGTCACCGAGACCCTCACCATCACTAAGCAAGCAAGGGTCTGCAGTCCATTGCTCCCATCACACACCCTTTGTCAAAAGTCCTCAAGAGTCCAGTGGTGTCACTACAGGGTACAGGGCTCAGAGACAGATCATCTTCATGGTGATAAAAAGAGCCAAACTGAGGTAGCCTTAGGGAAGAGGCATTCCAGAACATGGGGCAGGAGTGACAAGGACATCAGGAGCTCACAGTTTCTTGCAGCGCCACTGTTCTAGCTTCTCAGAGCACAGAGGTTTGTGTGTCAACCTATTCATGGAGAAACAGACAAAATGAGTAGGCTGACTGGACCTTTCTTTGTAATTTACTATGCCAAATAATGGGTTCCATTATGATATCGATTCCATTATGGCATTTTCATACATGTATATCATTGTACTCTCGCTCTCTCTCTCTCTCTCTCTCTCTCTCTCTCTCTCTCTCTCTCTCTCTCTCTCTCTCTCTCTCCCCTTGCTGGTATTTAACAGTGTCTTAGCAATAAAGCTTCTTCCTCAGGGTGAGGTGAAAGATTGTAGACTCTCTCTCTCTCTCTCTCTCTCTCTCTCTCTCTCTCTCTCTCCTTGCTGGTATTTAACAGTGTCTTAGCATAAAGCTTCTTCCTCAGGGTGAGGTGAAAGATTGTAGGCAAGAAATAGACATTCTGAGATACATGGCAAGGGCTTCTAAATGGAATAGGCTCGTTAAAATAATAATTGACAAAATCAAGGAAAGGGCAGATCTGGAAAAGATATGTAATGATACCAAGGGCTTGCTTTAAGACTAAGAACTGGCCAGGGGAACAGAGACCTGGACATCAGCCTTCCAATAGGGAACTTCTTACCAGGGAAGTTGTCACACAGAAATGACACAGAAGAACATTTTTAAAATAGACCTTTGTGTCTGCCAGATGAGTTTTGCTCTGGAGACTCTACCCAAGATTAAATGGCCAGGGGGTACAAGGGAGGAAAGCACATTGCTCTCGGGAGGAGACAGAAGACACGATTTACCAGTAGTCGATCCCTTTGATAGCCAGGATCTTCTTGGCACACATTTTGTCATCGGTAAGGTCATCATCCAGGAACTCTAGCAGAGTGCAGGAAGAAATGGCAGCTAAGAAGTGCAGCTCAGAGAAGTGATGGGCTCATTAGTCCCTGGGTCCAGGGGGCATGGCTCTGAGCTGAAAGCTTGACCTAGTGACTTTCTATATGAAAAGGCCAAACTAGTAGCACCCCCCGCCCCAGGTAGGGACTTCCTACCATTCCCCAGACACCTCTGAGAAGTCACCAGCTTCATCACACCTGAAAATGCAGACTTCCAGTCTCACAAACAAATTCACTCTCCCTGAACTTTGTGAGATAGGGGGACTTTCTGGGCATGTGTAGATCATGCACAGGGATCAGTTTCTTACTAAGCATCATCACTTCAAGTCACAATGTTCTTAGAGAGAGACTCCTGAGATGTACTGGGTACCAAGAAGGAGACTGCCTCTGAGGATGGTTATAGGGAAGCAGAAGAGCAGGGTGAAAGACGCTACTCACTGTCGCAGGAAATGCCACAGATGTTCTCTGACTCGGGGATCTCACTACTCTCACACCAGTGTTTGTTACTGATCTGGAAGAGCCCGTACTCTGTGCTGCCATTGTTCTTTACTGTAGCTTGTGTGTCACAACCACTGCTGTGGAATATAATGCAGGTCCCTGAGGGAGACAGAGGAAAGACAAAGATGTGTAGGAGTAGCATAATTGAGGAACTGGTTTCCCTGCAGAAAACAAAGGCCTCCCAGGTAATCTCCAAAAGTAGTGAATTACAAAGTCTCTCCATGAAGTGACAAGGATCAGACAATGGAAGGAAGGACAGAAAAGAAAACTGAATAAAAGAGAACAGAACAAAAGAAGAGCTAGAAGACTACAAGGGGGTGATTGGGTGGAAGTAGAGGAGACGAGAGAGAATGGCAATGAGGAGAGAGAGGAGAGGAACGGGATGAAGCAAAAGGTAGAGTGATAAACTCACATTCAAGCGAAGAGATGCCTTCATGTCCATCCATGTCTCTCATGGCCTGGTACACCTCACATTTTGTGAGTTGTGTGGCCTGAATGGCAGGAAACAAAATGCACACCAGGATCAAAGGAATAAAAGGCATCATTTTGGCAGCTCCTGGATCTTGAAATGCAGAGACTATTCAGCTTCACCCGCTTTTATATCTGAAGAAAGCTACTAGATCCCTGGCACCACGCCTGCTATCCAGGAAGATGATGAAGAGGGAGTGCTTATGCCAAAATAGAAGCTCTGAGCCTGCCAGCTTCCTGCCATCATTTCTCCCTAACTTTCCTCCCCTCTTCCCACATGTAATCAATACCGAGTATTGTTCTCTGCCCCACATGCAATTCTGCTTCTCACTCAGCTTTGGAACCCTTCATTTCTTTTTGGGCTGGTTCTAGGAAGCAGGATGTCTCTAACCTACTTTAGGAACAAAAGGGGGCTTCAGAGACGATACAAGTGAGGCAACTGGGAAACAGAGTTCACAGCCAACTCTGTTCTTACTCCCAAACACATACAGAATGTGTAAAGGTGGGGTAGCATGTCCTAGGATCAAAGCTGGCATTTGTCTGGCCAACCTAGTCATGGAGCAAAGTCCAGAAAGAACTCCTTGATATGGTGGCTCATACTGAGGGCCTCAAAAAAAAGGGATAGAACATGGAGACAGAGAACATGAAGATCAAATACAACTTGGATCCCAAGACTTCCTGTGGAGGAAGATAGATAATTTGAAGTTTTTATGAAAATATCTAGCTATCCTATGAGCCATCACCAAGCTCCCCAGCCCCAATCACCACTCCCATAAGTAACTAGATGCTACATTGGCATTAAGACATTGTGTCAATATAAGGCCAATTTCATAACATTGCTCTTGTGAAAGTAACTTATTCATAGCCCCAGAGTGGGTCACAAACAGTTAGAAAAGGGTGGTCCAAGTCATACAGGACATTTCTGAGTCCTCGGTCAGCTATAAAGTCATCTGCCCTGAGCAAGTGAGGCCGGGTATGAGTTCTGAGTGATTTGTGTAACTTGCTGGCATTGAGTGCTATATTGACAGTATCAGTAATCAGTGTCCTCCTTCCAGCCTGTGTTAATCCTTACACTGGGTTTACAGATTGGGAAATCTATAAACCTGATTTCTTCATTTCCTGAGGATTCCATCCTAACCAAGCCACCTAAGACTTAAAAACTCAAAGTCTTCCAATTTGTTATTATCTGTAAGTCTTCAGGGTCAAAGAAACTCGCTCAGTTTAATCCCATCTCATCTACTCTGAGCAACCAGTGTATAACATAGCATGAATGGAGCTGGGAGGTAGTGGCGCACACTTTTGATCCCAACATTCAGGAGGCAGAGGCAGGTGGATCTCTCAGTTCAAGGCCAGCCTGGTCTACAGAGTATGTTCCAGGACAGCCAGGGCTACACAGAGAAACCCTGCCTCAAGAAAAAAATACATTCAGGAGGCAGAGGCAGGTGGATCTCTCAGTTCAAGGCCAGCCTGGAATACAGAGTATGTTCCAGGACAGCCAGGGCTACACAGAGAAACCCTGTCTCAAGAAAAAAATAAGGGGGAGAAAAAGAAAAAAGGAAACATGGTAAGAATGAAACTTGTATGGAGGATGTGGGGAACCAAGATGAGCAGAAACTCCTGGATGGAGAGGGACACACAGCAGAAACACAGCAAACATGCTGCCAGAAGTACTGGAAGTACATGACAAGAATGGGAACTCTGTCACACTGAACAACTCTCATGGAGAATGAGAATAGGCATGAGGGCATAACCTGGAACCACACAGGACTAGAACACCTACCTGGTGAAGTCTTCCAAATAGTACATTGTATACAACACCTCTAGCCCTGGGCCATGGACTAAGTATCTATGACGGAGGAAAGTGGTAGCCCAGAGTCTTAGGGACTTTCTACACTTCCAGGCACTTCCACCTGCCTGTTACATGATTGCATCTCTCTGCCCTTCCTGGTAAGCAATCAAAAGCAATGTAAGGTCCAGGAATCACAGCTAAGCCCAGAAGAGAAAAATCAAGCATGCCCCGGGCAAGAGGAAGCATCATTTCCCTAGAAATGTTTGTTAAAGTGGGGCTACCTGAGGATAGATAGCTCACGGGAACAATTGCAAGCATTTAGAGGAAGATGTCAGTTCCTGGAAGTGGAAAACAGACAATGATCACAGCACTGAAAGAGGAAGAGATGGAAAGACATAAGCACTACCAACAGGAAGGCTCTGGCCCAAATCTTTCAGTGGGGGTGGGTATAGCTCGAATAACAAAAACCCAGAGACAGATATTGGGGTTTAAGCTGCAGATCAGAGAAGCAAAGCGGCCAGCCACTAGCTCTTACCTCTATCAAGGCCGAAATGGAGATCCTGTCCTCCCTGTGACTGGAAACTAACTAAATCTCACATGAGAACCTTTTGCTTCTTCCTTATATACCTCTCTAGTGCTGGGATTAAAGGTGTGAGCTCTGTTACTCTTTTTTTAAACATTTTTTAATTTAGAAACAATCTTATTTTACATATCAGTCCTGCATTCTCTCATGCCCCCCACCAACCCACCCCCTACCCACTCCCCAAGGATAGTGAGGCCTTCTATGGGGGGGGGATCATCAAAGTCTGTCAGATACATGGAGGAGGGCCTAGGCTGAAATAGTATCCTCCATAGGGAATGAGCTCCCAAAGTCCATTTGTGCACTAGGGATAAACACCGGTTTCACTGCTGGAGGTCCCATAGACCGCCCTGGCCTCCTAACTGGCACACACACTCAGAGGGTTTGGTTCGGTCCAATGCTGGTTCCCCAGCTTTATGACTGAGGTACCTGTGCTCTCAGTAGGTCAGATGAATTGTTTCTGCAGGTTTCTCCAGCATGGTCTTGACTCCTTTACTCATCCCTTCTCCCTCTCTACAACTGGTTTCCAGGGGTATGGCTCAGTGTTTAGCTGTGGGTGCCTGTTTCTGCTTCCATCCGCTACTGGATGAAGGCTCTAGGATGGCAATTAAGATAGTCATCAGTCTCATTATAGGGGAAGGGCATTAAAGGCGACCTCTCCACTACTGTCTAGATTCTTAGTTGTGGTCATCTTTGTGGATCTCTGAACATTTCCCTAGTGCCAGATTTCTCTTTAAACCTATTCTGGCTCCTTCTGTTAAGGTATCTCTTTTCTTGCTCTCCTCTATTCCTTCCCTGACTCAGTCTTCCTGATTCTTCTTGTTCTCCTCCCCCTCCTCTTCTTCCCTTCTCTTTTTCCTACCTCCCTTCCCTCCCCCCCCCACCCCGTGCTCCCAATTTTCTCAGGAGTTCTTTCCTCTTCTTCTGAGGACCATGTATTTCTCTCTTGGGGTCCTCCTTGTTTACTATTTTCTCTGGTAGTGTGGATTGTAGGCTTGTAATCCTTTGCTCTATTCTAATATCCATATATGAGTGAGTACACACCATGCTTATCTTTCTGTGGCTGGGTTACCTCACTCAGGATCGTTTCTTCCAGTTCCATCCATTTGCCCGTGAATTTCAAGATTTTGTTGTTTTTTTTCCACTGAGTAGTACTCCAAAATGTGTAAATGTAACACATTTTCTCCATCCATCCTTCAGTTGAGGAGCATCTAGGTTGCTTCCAGGTTCTGGCTATTACAAACAATGCTGCTAGAACATGGTTGAACAGATGTCCTTGTTGTATGAATGTGCATTCTTTGGGTATATGCCCAAGAGTGGAATTGCTGGATTTTGAGGTAGACTGATTCCCATTTTCCTAAGAAACTGACATACTGATTTCCAAAGTGGTCTTACAAGTTTGCACTCCCACCAGCAGTGGAGGAGTGTTCCTCTTTCTCCACATCCTCTCCAGCATAAACTGTCATTGGTGTTTTTTTATTTTAGCCATTCTGGCCAGTGAAAGACTGTATCTCAGAGTTGTTTTGATTTGCATTTCCTGATGGCTAAGGATGTTGAGCACTTTCTCAAGTGTCTTTCAGCCATTTTAGATTCCTCTATTGAGAATTCTCTATTTAGTTCTGAACCCCATTTTTTGTATTTAAATTTCTTTATTCCCATTTCACCCTTCTTGGCTTTTAGTCACATGACATCTACCCTTCTTACAATTTCCTCTCATATTAAAAGCATCATGATCAAGGAAAATCTCAATCTTCTTATCAGCCTCCAAGCTCTTGATGGATAAATGACATCAATACATCATGCTGAATCTCTTTGGAATTGATCTTTCCTCCATTAGAGTTCCTTTTTAAAATTCCATATCTTTATAAGTCTGTCATGTGAGATTTTAACTGCTCTGTCACAACGTTCTCTTCTTCAGTCAGTAGAGTTAGCTCCAGTTCTGTCCGTTTTTGTAGTTCTTGCATCGTGGTCATTGTCTTGCTCAGAGTAGCCCAAACGTGGCTCTTGTTCTCTTTTTGCTCAATAGAAAGTGGCGTAAAGCGTGCACACAAAGCTTGATAGGGAGACTTTATTGCTGATAATTCCTTTAAAATTGCAACTGCGTTTTTCTCTCCTGATGAATCTGGGTGATTAGTCTTGATTTCATATTCCAGCCTATATTGAATGTAATCCAAATCAGAATCAGCTTTCTGGAACATCAGCTTCAGCTTATCGACCTCCACCTCCATGTTGAATTGTACCTGAACCCCATTTCTTAGTTGGATTGTTTGGTGTTTGGGTGACTAGTTTTTTGAGTTCTTTATATATTTTGGAAACCAGCCTTCTGTCATATGTGGAGTTGGTGAAGATCTTTTCCCATTCTGTGGGCTACTGTTTTCTTGCTGACTGAGTCCTTTGCCTTACAGAAGCTTCTCAGTTTCAGGAGGTCCCATTTACTAATTGTCAATCTCAGTTTCTCTGTTACTGGTGTTATGTTCAGGAAGCGGTCTCCTGTACCAATTCATTCCAGGGTACCTCCCACTTTCTCTTCTAAGAGGATCAGTGTGGCTGGATTTATGTTGAGGTCTTTGATCCATTTGAACTTAAGTTTTGTGTGTGCTGATAGATAAGGATCTATCTGCAGTCTTCTACATATCAGCATCCAGTTATGCCCGCACCATTTGTTGAAGATGTTTTCTTTTTTCCATTGTATAATTTTAGCTTCTTTG